TTTATATTGATCGGCCATTTTCTCAAAAAAGCAAAACATTTCCCGGAGGTACATTTTGCTAGTCCATGACCCATTTGAATTTGCGAGCAAAAAATTTTGTTTTGTGAAAGTTTTTCTTTTGAATTACGCAATCGTCGCCGATATATTGAAGATTTAACGACAACAATTGATAATTCATTTGCTTGTTGGGATTTAATCTAAGGTTCAAAATATGTTATTCCACGAAGGAATTTTTGAGCAAACCACCAATCAATGAAATTATTTTTGATGTGGTATCAAATTCTACGAAATATCCACAAATTTTGCAAATTTGATTGTTTTTTTTTAAAGATTCGATTAATTTTTGCATGAACCCCAAAATTAACAAAAAATCTGATTTAATTTGGCAATGATATTTTTTTCTACCCTTTTGATTTTCATTTTTTTTTTCACACATTATACATTATATTTGAAAAAAAAAATTTCAAAATTTATTTGTAAAGTAAAATTTACCTTTTAATAAATAAAAATGTCTGCGGTTGAAAAAGAAGCAACGGGAAGAGCTTCTCGTACAAGACAAACCGAAAATACTGCTCCAATTCCAAGTGGAGCTGGTGAGGAAACAACTGGTGGAAAGTCTAAAGTTAGTCTAAAAAAAAAAAAGATATATCTAAAAATATATAACATATATTTGAGATATAACTTCCTATTTTAAAAAACTGAAAAAAAAAGAAAAAATAAAGATTGAAGGTTCTTTTTTTTAACAATTTATAATCTTTTTTTTTAGAAAAAAGGCGGAAAAGGAGCAAAAGTCTCTGCAGCAGCAGCAAGTACTTCAAAAATCTCAAAAAGCATTAAAGCAGGTTTGGTCCTTTTTTTTCACTTTGTTTATTCTTCTTTTAAGAACCATAAAGTTCTCAAAAAAAGGAAAAAAAAAAACTTTGATGAAAAATCAAATCATAAAATTTTTTCCTCCTTTTTTTTGAAAAAATTTAATTCTTGTAGGGTTAACATTTCCGGTTGGTCGTATGGCAAGATTATTGAAAAAAGGTAGATATGCAGATAGGATAGGAGCAGGAGCACCAGTATATTTAGCAGCAGTAATAGAATATTTAACAGCAGAAGTATTAGAATTAGCAGGAAATGCAGCTAGAGATAATAAGAAACAACGTATTATACCAAGACATTTACAATTAGCTATACGTAATGACGAAGAATTAAATATTTTATTAAGACATGTTCATATAGCCGAAGGTGGTGTTTTACCAAATATCCATGCCGAATTGTTACCTAAAAAGAAAGGTAGTGAAAAGGTTAAACCTACAACTACTGTTACCAGTGCTACTGGTGCAAGTGGTGGTGCTTCTCAATCAAAGAAATCTACCAAGGGTGCCAAGACCACCGCAGCTGCATCTGGCGGTAAAGCGTAGGGGGAATGTTGACCTTTGAATTTTTAATTTGATTTTATCCTTTTTATCTTGGGAATGATATATATTTTTTTTTCATATAATTTCTTTTAGTTTACGCTTTTCTTTCTTTCAAATATATTTGTTTTTATCTCTTTGAAATTTCTTTTTTTTTTTTTTTGTAAAGAAAACTAACATTAAACTAATAGAGTAATTGCTTCAAAATGTTCCTTTTTCCCCTTTGCGTTTTTTTTTTTAAAAAAAAAATTGATTTGATCGCTGTAACTTTATAATGATTATCATGTGACAAATATAATTTAAATTTTTGTATGAAAATAATTAAAAGCAATCCCGAAAATTACGCAAAAAATTTCGCAACTAAGTGTTTATTCCGACGATTTTAAGTTCGTTATAAAATTTTCCAAGTTATTACGAATAAAAAAAAGTTCAAACCAAATAAATAAAATGATTCTAAATAAAAATTAATTTAACACAAACCAAGATCTTTAATTTCTTTTTCACTTTGATAGTACTCGTAATTGCCAAATCAGTTGAATGAATTCAACATTTTTGGATGATATTAAAAGAATAGACATTTTAAATTAATATCAGATTGTATTTTTGTTTTCATGGGAAATCATGGTCAATCGGAAATGTTCCCAGATTCATTCTCATAATATTTCATTCTACTGATCTCCAAAACCCCCAAAAGAAATTTTCAACATGTGCTATTTAATGATCAAATTCACGATTTGAAAAATGTATAAAATCAAACCTCTGTCAAAGTTTTTTATTTTTCATTTCCTCTCAAATAATTTCAATCCAATTGCCGGGTGGCAAAATATTAAACCTTTACGACTTTACGACTTACCAAATCTCTTCACCATGAAATTCTTTCTTGCTTTTGCTTTAATTTTCGTAATCCTCTTGGCGAACGATGCCCTATCGATTCCATTATTGGATAAACATACAAAGAAAAATGATATTTGTGACCATCAAAAAAAAAATAAAGGCAAACAAATTCCTGGTGGATCTTGTTCTACGACCATCCAAGGAGAGATACCATCTATCGACCATATGGTTTCAACAATAATCATCTCCCCAGATAATAATAAAGTATTGTCGGCTAATAAGCCATTCAATATTGTGCTTTTAACTGATAATTTAGAAACCGGACACTTTAGTGATCCAGATACACAATATTACGCTGAACCGCAAACACTTGACAAAAACGGTTTGATAAAAGGTCATGTACATGTTTCCATTCAAAGTATTAATGGTAAAAAACCTCCAAATGCCAAAGATTTTGTATTCTTTAAGGGTATAAATAATGCGGCCGATAAAGATGGTAAATTAAGTGCTACAGTCGACAAAGGTTTAAATCCCGGACATTACAGAATTTGCACCATTGGTAGTTCTTTTGCACATCAACCCCTTCTTATGCCAGTCGCAAAAAGAGGTAAAAATATTTTTATGACTAATTCTTTTTAAAAAAAATTAAATTAAATAAAAATAATAATAATAATTTTATAATTATTTATAGGTTCTACTGATGATTGTATAAGAGTTACTGTAAAGAATGGTAAAAGTAAAAGGGCAATGTCAGGAGGATTTAACCTTAATTAAATTAGTATAATTTAATTTCATGATAATTTAATGCCAATTTTTTAATGTTAATTTTAATGGATAATTTAATGATTTCAAAAAGTTTTTCTATTTCGGTTCGGGGTGACGAATAACTTTCTTTTAAAAAAATTTTCCGTTTTAAAAAAAAGAATTAAGGTTTAGCCAAACTAAGTTAATCCTGTTATATGTCACATAATCAGTGTTTAATACATACGATAGAAAATTTTCTAACAATAAAAAAATTTTTTGCTGTGCAAAATACAAACCAAAAGAATACGTAATACAATCTAGGCCATTTACCTTTTTTTCAGATATTTTTCAACGAATCAAAATTAGCCAAAAAACAATGCTTATAAATAAATAAAATAAGTAAAATATAAATTCAAGCATGTGATAATCGATTGGAAGTTATATAAACTACTAGTATAGGTCTTATTTTGAAAAACAAAAAAATGTCCCTTTCAATAAAAAATAATCTTTTGCTTGTATTCATTCACGGTTTCAAAGGTGATGATGAAACTTTTTTGGTTTGTAATCTCTCTCATATCAAAATATTCTTCCTACCCTATTATAGTTTCATAAATTTACTTTGTATCAATAGTCAGTGCTTCAAAGTTATTTTTTCTCTTTTTTTTGCAAATATAATTTTTTACAACAGGACTTCCCAAAACGCCTTCAACACGTACTTCAAGAAACGATTTCAAACATAAAAATAAGGTCAATAGTTTATCCTCGTTATGAAACTCGAGGTGAATTAAAAGAAGCTGTTGAAAGGTTTTGTTTATGGCTGGAAAATGAGGTTTTAAAGCTAACTGGTAACGTTCGAGTTTGTTTACTTGGACATTCTATGGGTGGTATTCTAGGTAAGTGATATCGTTATTATGTAAAACGGTTTTGTTTTATATACATATATGTAAATTATTCTATTATTCATATAGCTGCCGATACAATCTTAAAATACGCAAATCAAACAGTAAAAACAACTTGTAAACCAAATATAATCGGATTGTTCGCATATGACACCCCATTTTATGGGGTACATCCTGACGTTTTTTCGAAGGCTGCGCTCAAGCGATTTAACAAAGTAACGCAAAGCGTCAGCAGTACACTTACTTTATTAACGTCCGCCGCTGGTGCTTCTGCTATCTCTAATCCAGGATTGGGAAAACGGAGTTTGTTTGGTATCGCTCTCGGTGTTAGTGTTGCTGCTGCTGCTACTTATTATCATAAAGATAAAGTTAGTAAAGGTGTCGAATGGTTGGGAAGTCACCTTGAATATGTTGGTGTCTTGTGGAATCAAGATGAATTGTCGAAAAGGTATGTTCCAGATTTTTTTTAAAAGTATAAATTCATTTCTTTACAATTTATGATTTTAAAAACTTTTCATTAGAGTTGAAAACCTGTTGAAAGTTCCAGATATTGTCTTTCAGTGTTACTATACTCAGGTAAATTAAGTATAACTATAAAAAAAATTTTTAGATGTACTGAAAATTTTTTTTATTCTGTTCTTTTTAGATTCCACCACAAGATGATGAACTACCGAAAACGTTCATCGAATTGCCACCATCACATATGATGTCATATTTTTCTTCCATCGCTTGTACAAGCGAAGATGAAATTGACGCTCATCTTGAAATATTTAATCCTGATGTTAACCCATTTTATTATGATTTGGGTCATGTGACTTCAAAATATATATGTGAGATGATAGCAAAAAGTGATGTTTTCCGGTTGGAAGCTTTTTAGCTGAAGAAATTAATCTTTGAATAAGCATAATATGCGAAGTTCTCAACACATTTCTTTTGTATGTAAAGCGAGGTGACTTTTTTATACGGTATATGAGTACAGCATATTTAAAGAACTTTTTATCGTAAACTATGATTAGCATAAAATACTTCTTCGAATTCACATTTAATATTTTTTTAAATCGGTTACACTTTTTTTTTCTCCATTATTTAAATAAAAATTTTGCAATATCAATTGAACCGTTGCGGTTATCACGTGACAACAAATTAGCATGTTACGGTAGTAATCTATTAATTTACTGGTATTTATAAAAAAAAAAAATTTTGATCAAAAAATATTTTACATGTAGAATATTTAATATTTAAATATTTTTATTAAAATGTAAACTATTTAATAAACATATTTATTAAAAAAATTAAAAAACAAAAAATTGGTATTATAATTATAAATGCTATTTAAATTTTCAAAATTAATTCCAACAGTTAAATTATTTTAGATATTTAAATTTTATTTTAATAAAAAAAAATTTTATATATAATTAAAATAAAGTAATATAATAATTCATTTTAGTTTTATTTTAATTATTAATAATTTCTAATAATCAATTTCTAAATAATTAAATATTATGTTCTTTATTATTGACCTTCTTTTTAACAAAATACAGTGAACTCTTGATATAACGAATTCTAGGATCTGGATATCAACTTCGCTATAAGCTTATAACGAATTTTTTAAAGAATTTAATTGGCTAGTTCACTATAGTAAGGTAATTTTAATATATTTGATTTAAAAATTCGCTGTATTAAGGGTTTGCTATATCAAGGTTTGACTGTATGTTTTGTTTACTAGAACAATCATTTTTAAACATTTATTAATAATCACAACTCATCATCAAGATCTCTTTTTATAATAAAAAGAATGTGATCATATATATTCAATACTATTATCTAATTTAGAAAGAGCTAAATTTTTATTCCTTAAAATTATACCAATTCATCCTTTATTCTATCAAAGTTACAGAAATTCCTTTTGATTTAACTTAGTTTTCATATTAAAGTAGATAATTTATTTAGAATATCTGATAATATTAGATATTGTTTGATTATCACAATTGGTAAATAAACCAATATGTTCAAATGAAATAATTTTTGATACATAGTTAAATTTTTAAATAAGTTACAAGTTAGAAAAGTCATATTAAGTTGATTTGAATCAAAAATTTTTTTGATTTGTTTAACTCAAATTGGATTATAAAATCAATTTAAAACAATTTTTTTAGCTTTTAATAAATAAAATATTCTAAAATAATAATAAAATATTATTCTAATAGAATAATAAAAGTATTATTTTAATAAAATAATAAATATTATAGCAGAATTATCATAAGACAAGAAAATGTGATATAGTAAATAATCAGTAGATTTTACAAAATGATCTACATAGTTGATATATCTAATATAGTATTTCTGATATAATTAATTTATTAGCTAAGATTGCTAAATAATACCTATAGGTTTAGATAACTGATAAAATTAAAAATCAGTTTAAATATTTGAAATAAAATTTAAAAGTTTAAAATTGCAAAATATTTACAAGTTTTACAATTTTACAAAATTTTTATCAATTTATATAATATTATTATATAATATACTTTGCAATAGTTTTAAAGTTTTGCAATAGTTTAAATTATATTATTTAAGAATTTATTATTTTTTATTTTTTAAAATAATTTAATTAAATAATCTTATAGCAACTTATTATAATATATAGTCAATCCCCTATATAGTTACATATTCCTTGAAATTGAAAAAAATGGTGTGATTATAAAAATACTATATAGTATAATTAAAAAGGAGGATTTTGTAATAAGTTTATTAGTAACTTAGGCTAACATAAATATACTTATAAAGGGGAATGTGATTATATCTAGGGTGACTATAAAGAAGATTAATTGTATAAAATAAAAAAGCAATTTATAACTCATTTCACATAATCTATTTTAGCATCAAATTGGTAAATTAAGTATTTACAATATTTTTATTTTATTTTTAACTTTAAAGCTATATATGGGTTAGTACATACAAAAATCAGGTTTTGATCATATGATTTATATAGTCCCGCAGCATGATTTTCATATGTACTAACCCATATGATTTTTACATCTATTAGTTAAAAATAAGTAATAGTATTTGAAGATAAATAAATAAACTTAATATTGATAAGCTTAATATATCAGCTTTTTTTATTAATTTTTAACTTTTTATTTTGTTAAATAAAATGATTCTGCAACTATTTCTTCTTTATTTTTTTATTATTAAGATCATCTTTACTTAAATTAGAATTAGTTATTTTTTTAAAGATGTTTAGATTAAAGTGAGAATCTGTATTATCAATAAATAAATAATAATATTTTCTGAAAAAATAGTTATCAAAATAATTAAGTTAATCAATAAGTATATCTGATCTTATTAAGTTAACTGATAGATTAAAGGTAGAGCTGACTTATTAAAAATTTTTAAATATCATAATTGAGTGATTTTCAAATTATAAGAGATATAAAGATTATGAAATTTTTATAATATTAATGTAAAAGAAAACAAAAACCTAGTTTTTATACTATAAAATTCAAAAAAGCATTTCATTTCTTATAAATTATTACTAACTTTCTTATATTAAACTAAAGTTATAAAAATCCTACTTTCTTAAAACTTGTAACTATATCTGTATTAAATGTTTAATTTATTTCATTAGCATTATAAAGATCTTTTTATCATATGCAGCTAAAAGATTATGTAACTTTAATTATTCTTCTGAAAGGATGATAAGTAATACTATATTTAGTATTTTTAGAAAACTTAATTGTTTGAAGACCAATATATTTTTTAAAACTTATATACCTAATTATTAATAAATTTTAACTACTCTTTATTAATATTCAATATTTGTGCTAATTATCCTTAGATTATAGGATTTTGCAAGTAAATTTGTCTGCTTATTTACTATAAACACTTCTTTAATTTACTTTTATAAATAATTAATATTTTTAAAATAATTTTTTTTTTAAATTAATTTTATAAATATATAATATATTATAACAAATTTTAACTTTTAATTATATTCCTTCAATAGTTTTCTTTTAAATTTAAAAGGAATTTTACTTACACTTTAAAGTTAATTTTAAATATATAAAAATTAGTTATTAAACTAATAATAATATTATAATAAAATTTATGGTTTTTTAAGTAAAATCAAAAAAAAATTACCGTAGAGCACTGACTAAACCACCCTGAATATTTTACAAATCTACCCTTAAATTTGCAAAATACCTGGGTAGTTTGATCAAGGGGGTATTTTGTAAGAAAGGGGTAGCTTGAAAGGTTATGTAGATCATCAATATATAAAGTTTTTTGGCGTTTTATTTTTTGTATTGCATTCCACTTTTTTTGTATTGTGTTTCACTATTATACTATTAAAAATGGTTAGAGCAAATAACAATGACAAGCGTTCTAGGTTTACTCTTAAAAAAAGAGAAATTGGTCAGTTCGCGAAAAATTAATGGTTTTGCATTTTTTAAATGATTCAAATAGTGTTCATGCTACTGCAAGACATTTTGATTTACAACTAAACCAAGTTCGTGACTGGAGGAATAAAAAAGACCAACTTGCCTCTGCATCTCATTTATTAAAATTACACAGTGATAGACAAGCATTTTTTTTGAAATTAGAAAATGAGTTAGCAAATTGGATTTTGAAATGTAGGGAACAAGGTTTCCCAATTATTAGAAATATAGCGATAAAGAAAGCCAAAAAACTTGCGCAAACTGATAAATATTAAGAAAAATATCCTAACATTTCTTTCTTTAAATTTTCAAATAAATGGATGGACTGTTTTATGAATCGTTATGATCTTTCAAATCGTCGAAGAACAACAGTATCTCAGCATTTACCAGAAGATTTACTTGAAAAGCAGCAAAGTTTTTTGAATTTTGTCCTTTATAGAAGAATACAATATGATTATCCATTTCAATTTATTGGAAATATAGATGAGACTCCTGTAGCTTTTGATTTACCTAATTCATATACTTTAGAAAAATGCAGTTCTAATACTATTAATATCAAAACTACTGAACATGAAAGAAGTACATTTACAGTTGTTTTGGGTTGTATGGCAGATAGATCAAAATTACCACCTGTTGTTATTTTTAAATTAAAGAATATACCTCAAGAAACATTTCCTAATGGTATATTTGTAAGAGTAAATGCAAAAAGATGGGTTAATGAAGATGAAATAATTTGGTGGGTAGAAAATGTCTGGTCTAGAAAAACTGTTAATTCATCTAATCCTAGTTCACTTTTTGTCTTGGATTCTTTTTGTGGTCATTTAGTTAGCTCTGTTAAACAAAAATTACATGAAAAAGCAACTAATATGACAGTAATTCCTGGTAGATTAACATCAAAATTGCAACTTCTTGATGTGTATCAATTAATAAAAGTTTTAAATCTAATGTAAGTATAATTAATTAATTTTTTATTATTTTTATATTTATTATTCTATAAATTAAAAGGATTTTTAATTTAATAGATTCACAAACTTTATAATGATTGGATGACAAATGAAGTTCATGAATTAACTCCATCTGAACGTATTAAAAAACCTTCATATTCTTTAGTATCTTCATAGGTAAAAGATGCATAGGAAAAAATTGATACAAATGTAATTCGTAGCTCATTCAAATGTTGTGGCATTTCAGTTAAAACTGATAGTTCCGAATATGATATGATTTTTGACTATAGTAGTCTTATAGTAGATAAAGAAAATAAAGAAAATGATGAGTTAATTGGAGATAATAAATTTAGAGAGAAAAAATTTAGAGAGAAGGATTACAATAATTGGGATGATATTAATTTTACTAATGTTTGAATAAATAATAAAGTTTTATTTTTGAATTGATAAAATGTGTATAATAAATAAATATTATAACGGTATATTAATCATATGAT